GCATCAAGAATCATATCTGCTCCTTTTATGAGCAGTTGTTCACATCTGAGGGATCATCTGGAGAGGAGGAGTTGTTGCATCTTATCCCAACCACCATCTCAACAGACCAAAATGATAATCTGATTGCCCCAATCACTGATGAAGAAATTAAAGATGCTCTATTCAGCCTTGAGCCAGGGAAAGCACCAGGACAAGATGGTATGAGCCCAATTTTCTTTCAAAAATTTTGGCCTACCATTAAGACTGATTTTTGTAAAGCTGTTTCTATTTTTTTCGAATCTGGGCAAATGCTTAAGAGTTGGAATCATAATCTTATTACTCTTATCCCTAAGTGTTTGAATCCAGAAACTCTCAAACATTACAGACCAATTAGTTTGTGTGGAGTTGCCTATAAAGTGGTCTCTAAAATTTTAACTGCGAGGATTAAACCTTGTCTGCATTACTGTGTGAGCAACAATCAAGCTGCTTTCATCCCAGAGAGGCAGCTCATGGATAATGTTATAATTTCTCATTAAGTGGTACACTTTCTGAATAGACATAAAATAGGAAGGAAGGTGTTTATGATGGTGAAGCTTGATATGGAGAAGGCTTATGACCGAGTGGAGTGGAGGGCTGTTACAAAGGTTCTTTTGAAAATGGGATTCCACCCTCGGTTTGTAAAATGGGTCTGGGCTTGTATTTCATCCACTTCTTTTTCTTTTAATCTGAATGGGGAGATGTTGGGTTTTCTGGCTGCTCAAAGAGGTATTAGACAGGGGGATCCTTTATCCCCCTATTTATTTATTTTACTGTCTGAAGTCTTTTCTGCTCTGGTGAAGCATGAAGTGGGTAGAGGGATTTTCAAAGGAGTCAAAATTTCTAAACAGAGCCCCCCTGTGTCCCACCTTATGTTTGCAGATGATACACTTGTGATGTGTGAAGCAGATACTTCTCATGCTCATCAAATCTTAAGTCTGCTTAATAAATACAAGAACTTTACTGGCCAAAAGGTGAATTTGGAGAAATCTTCAATTTTTTTCAGCAGAAACTGCTCTTTACAACATCAGGCAGAGGTCTGTCATTTATTGAGGGGCATCCAAACACACAGATCAACCCGATACCTAGGATTGCCTTTGGGAATAGGTAAATCCAAGAAAGAGACGTTTGATTTTGTGCTTACTGCAGTGAGGAAGAGGATAATTAACTGGCAGAATAATTTCTTATCTAGTGCTGGCAAAGCAGTGTTGATTAATGCAGTGATTGGAGCTTTACCTATTTTTTCAATGTCTTGCTTTTGCATTCCTAAAGAAATCTGCAAGGAAATAGTTAAACTCACAGCTGAGTTTTGGTGGAAGAATGGTGATCAACATTCTGGGGTTCACTGGAAGGAGTGGAAGATGATGACACTACCAAAGGAGATGGGGGGTTTAGGCTTCAAAGACTTAATTCTATTCAATGAGGCTTTAATATTGAAACAGCTTTGGAGACTTCTCTCCCACCCAAATCTGTTAGTTACAAAAGTGTTGAAGGGGAAATACTTTGCAGATTGTTCTCTGTTGCAAGCAAAAAAAACAGTACAATGCCTCTTGGTTGTGGACAAATTGGTTGAAGGTGAGGGATAAATTCAAATCATTTTTCAGGAAAGAGGTGAGAAATGGGAGAACAACAAACATCTGGACAGAACCTTGGATTCCCTTGGCAAAGGATGGGTTACCTCACAGAACAGCCTGGGGAATGGATAAAGTTCAAACAGTGACAGACTTGCTTGATGACAGTGGAAGAAGATGGAACATGCAGCTCCTCTCTGAATGTTTCACTGCAGCTGATTGTGAGGCCATAAGACAGATTAATACTTTGAATCCAGATATAGGTGATAAATGGCTCTGGACCATGGATAAAAAGGGTAAGTTCTCTGTAGCATGTTCTTATTCACATTTGGTGCTCAATAAGTCTCTTCTGCTGGATATTGCTGAGGGCAGTGGTTCTTATCTTGTGAATAGTAGGGTCGGGAGAAGAAGCTGGCAACTTCATTTTAAACAGAAAGTAAAATATTTTGTGTGGAAATGTTTTTCCAACAGTTTGGCTGTGAATGTAAATTTAAAGAGGAGGGATATGGAGGTTGACCCTATTTGTCAATGTTGCGGGGAGGATGTGGAATCTATAGAACATTTATTGCTTTATTGTTCAAGGGCTCAATTGGTGTGGAAAATGGCTCCAGTTAGATGGGATAATGAGGACTTTGCAGGGTCTTTTAGAAGTTGGTGGTGGAAGATATGTTTAATTGATAACAGGGAAATATCAGAGGCTCGAATCGAACTAACCACCTATATTCTTTGGTGGTTATGGAAATCAAGGAATTTTTGGAAATTCCAGAAGACATGGATGCCTGAGCAAGTGATTATAGCTACAGCACAGAGAGAATGGCAAGAATTTGTTCAGTGCAGCAGCCTTAAGGAGTAACATTGAAGAAGAATGATGAAGACTAGGTCTTTTGGTTCAGTTGTTTTCATGATTCTTTATGCTTATTGTATTTTCTCTTTAGGTCTGTAGTCATGTCTGTTGAAGGGAGTTGTGTTTTCAGATGTAGCTGCTAATGTTATCAGGGTTATACTGTATTAGCTAGCTTAGTTTGGTTAGATTTTGGCTGGTTTTCTTGGCTTTGTATCTAAATCACCTTAGGGTGGTTTCTGTTGCTTAGTTTTGTGGACCATATGGGGCTATTTAGCCTCTCGGCGTGTACTGTTTATTTGTTGAAATGAAATCTATCGTTTTATAAAAAAAAAAGCACAATAAT